ATAGGACGAAACGTACGTCTTGGATTCTACCACCAGCTACTATTCCTTATTACTACCAAGCTTAAAATACAGAAAACTATCAGGGCAACCACGAAATAGCCCATATGCCGATCGAGTTCGATCAGTTTAGGTAGAATCAGCAACCAAGTATTACAAGCGATAACATTAAAAAGTGGAGTAGTTAATCAAAAGATCTACCGAAATAAGTTAAAGTAGTCCCCCAGTTAAAACTTAGTTTGGAATAGTTTGAACTATGTTCTACTATGATGACAATTGAAATGATAATTTCATACTGAAGTTTACGATTCTCACGTTAATGTCATTTGAGATTTCTATTGAATACACAGTCTCCTTAATTTTAAACAAAATGACTAACTAAGATTGATACTGTATGACGATTGGAAGTAAAATGAAAATTTCTACCACGTTGGGATTCGAAATAGCGACTAACAGGCTTCCAGATTGTTGCTCTACCAACTGAGCTACGTACAAATATGGATCATGATAGATTGCTTTCGGACAGTTTGATTGCCTTTTACCCTTTTTCTTATTCGTCGATAGACAAGATGCATACTCATACATACAATCATTTGCAAAACTCAGTAGTCTTTTCCAACTCTGATATCAATCATTTTGTATGCATATCCATCTTCCCTCCCTATCATTCATATAAGCCAACACACCAGTTGACTAAATCACTAACTTTTGCCGTTATAATGCAAGAACAAAGTGCATCGAAGCTACCTGATATAGAAATGCTTATATTCACCACTGATTCAATTGCAAAAGGTTTCCGATTTATTTGTACATGTTATTGGATGCTGATTTTCTGATAAGTTGGGATGGCAAACTCATCGGACTGTATATGAACCCAATTCCTAGAGATTTCATCAACCTCACTGTAACATCCAACCTATTCCTCATTCGAAAAAGGACTATCTCTATAGTAGATGTCAAGGAGAACCACATAGTCCACGATGTATATGACAAGTGTTCCCTGGATGAATGTAGCTGAACAACTGTTGTTCGGAAAGAAACATGCACACAATATACCTCATTAGTCTATGGTGAGATATAATTCAGCATCAAATTCACACAGTCTAATCACTCGCATTCTGATCGATCGAGACTCTCGATATCTTTCACTGATCAAGAAAAATCCCACTCATCCTGACTATCTGAGATAGCTGTGGTTTGGCAGACTAGTATTAGTATTGCTACTGGATGGTGATTGAAGGTGGAATGAAAACTCAGACTATCTCAGGTAGTCGAAATGATAATCAGTATGGTGTTCTCCATACCCAACTCAGTTAGATTTACATTTGGATGAGAGATGCTGACTGGTCAGTCAGTGTGGGTACGATCAAGTGGTAGTAATCCATCACGAATTTACATGTTAATGGATGGAAAGGTCTTGGTGGTTGAAGTGAAATGAAAATCTTATCAGCAGTTTACTTGGTAGAGGATCAGGCTGGAAACTCAGTAGTCACTATTTCGAATCGGGCCTCAGTCCAAATTTTCATTTCAGCTTCAATCATCACCTGGTATCAATACTAACCTGCCAAACTATGGCTATCTCAAATAGTCAAAATGATAACTAAAATTAGCGAAAGCAACTAATTCATGCAGTATTTCATTGAAATGGGCTATTAGCGAAGAAATACAGATTTCTTTTTTGATATTCCTCTCAGATAATCAGTTTATCAACTGTACCGATGTAGTATCAACACAGGTTAAGTTGGAAACCACCTAGATGGTCTAAAAAGTGTGATCTCTAAAAGAAAAGTGCTTTGAACTAATGCAATATACTACTGAAGGAAATGAGTAGTTAGAAACCACTTGCGCTGGTTTTTAGATTTCTTTGGTCAGATCAAAGTGAGATCGAAATTGTTCGAAGTGAAAGATTAAATATGTGTAATCAAGAGTTCTCACTGAGAGGTGGACACGGAGGGGATGCAATAATAACTAGAAAGATGTTTCTAGAATACTAGAGATAACTGGAAACACGAGACTAATTTGAAAACAGCATGAAGTCAAAGCTGAAAACAGTGGATTGCAACCACGACGGCAACAGCATAAGTAATAATAATTCCCTTGAGTGACATAGTGATACCTCTAAGTGTCATGCTTACGCCTTAGTTAGTATGCCATTAATAAGGTGATATTTTGCATTTGAATGCTTACTGGACGATCAACAAAGACGTTTCCAGATGTAAACAACTTAAATGATACACTAGTAACTTTCCAAGTAGAAGCCTTTTCATAATGCATAAATAGAAGAATTACCCGTGACGTTTGGAAATCACTCTCTCATTCATTTATGGAAACATGACAGCTGAATATAGCAACATAAGCGACTCTAAGGGCCACTCTGACAAATACTCAAACTTCCAATTGTGTTTCTTCATTTCATGAAGCAGTACTGTTTCCGACAAAATAAAACGACTTTATTGGTTATTTAGCTCGTTGTTGGGGTAGTTTTTTTCACTCAGCAGTATTCTAGCAAGAGACTGAAGAATGAAAAATTTAACATTTCAGTGACTTCGAATCAAGAAAAAATTGATGGCACCAGAACAATATAATATAGATATTCAGATCATAGTTTACATCACCTTTTATAGTGTCATGTTGGAGAAACAAGCAGTTATACTGTAGCCTCAAGCTACTAAGGGTTTCTAATCATGAAGACGCACTTCATAACTAGTAGTGTATGCGTGCTACAGTTAGCATCAGAGATTAGCTTTGGGTAGTGTGATTGGTGCTTAAATGGTTTTAAGTAAGACTGGATGAAGTATGAATGGTTTTAAGTTCTCAGTGAGAAGTGAAGGCAAACACTGTTCCGCCTGAATATTTATCCGTGAAAGACATGGACCTTCATGGTTGAGTATAAGTAAACTCTGATGTCTTTTCTAAATATATTTGTGATATGGGATTCATTCTAATTTGATTTTCTAGTGAGGTGAGTCACAAGTAAGCCGGAATACAAGGGGAATATATCTAGGTAGAAACTTTCAATGTCTTACTTTTGCTTAGGGAATTCAGTCTGTTCACTTCTTGAAAGTCTGTTATAAGGGCATAAGTATGATTATTGGGGAAATCTCTCTTCTTATAGAATGGAAAAGATATGAACTTTGAAGAGCCCATACCTCTTCATTCCGTCAATTTTATAATTCCTTTGAGTGGGGAATGAATGAATGAGTAAGCATTCTTTTCAGCTGACGGTTAGCACTCATATCATACTGTAGTGTCGCTCAGTTTAGCCTCGGTGTGTCATACTTGATTAAAAGACGTTGGTAGGAAATTACAACTTGACAATTTAAAATCTGTTAATCCCACGGTCCAGTGTTCACAGTGAAGAAATAGTTTTAGGTCTTGATGCTATACATAAATGCTGATATTAGAAGTCGTATAATTTGACGGGAAATGTCACGTTCTGCAAGGAAGATGATCGCCCTTTCAATGGAGAGCAGACTGGTTTGTTTATGAGTTATCAGTCGAACAATGTACTGTCAACCGAAAGAAATTGAGCACTTTGTGGAATATGATTCTGTATAGGATTTGGTCGTTTGACGCAGCCCTCATTGAAACAGTACTGTTCACCCAAACTACATGTATCGCGTATGACACCTGCCAATATTACTACATGAATGCGGTGATAGCAACTGTCGGCTGGGATACAAACCAGTTAGTTACGGTTTAAGATAATCATAGTGGTAGAGTGAACGTTTCTGGGTATCAGGATAATTTAAAAAGACCTAACTTCTGCCTTTCATGAGACAGAAAATAATCATATTAGCAGTTAAAACAACAGTTTGTAAAAACAGTTGAACCTTTGTATCGACTTGAAGCACGTGTAATTGTAGTTGATTCTAAAAATACTTCTTCATTGGTATATATTCTAGCAATTCTAGATCACTAAGTAGAAACGTCCGTCAATGAATGATTGGAAAATAATGTCAAAAAGTCGCTAGCTGATCATCTGAATGTTCTCAATTAAGGTAGGTTAAAACAGATCGAAAAAGAACTACTGTGTGATTTGATATCTTCAGCATAAAGTGTGCATGTTTCCACCAGTTAAAGATTAAAATGGCCTTAAAACTAAAGTAAGAAGAGAATATTTGTAATTTTGTGTTCTTTTGGTTTCGAAGTGTTATCTTGCTCATCTGTTATCACTGAAATTATTTTCAGTGTCTAGTTGGTAAACCACTCTTGAAGTAAATCCCTGTTTGCTAAACGTACTCCTTACGTCATCTTTTAACAGTCACAAACTATTAAGTAATCTAACAATTTGAAGGTATCCTGACCAACAATGGAATGGAAACATGGGTTCCTTCATATCGATGCCTTAAAGTATTTCAAACCTGGGGGGGGGTGGTTTACTTTGAAGCTGTACTTATGATAGTTGGGCACACTTTAGAAAATCTCATTTAGTTCAAAAAATTTATATTTCTAAATTGGTGAATGGTGGGAATTAATTGGTTTCAAAGTAGTACTCAACACGAACTGACACCAACAACAGAACCATTGAAAACCTGGGAGCACTGAACAGCAACGAATTCCTCAGCAGTGTACAATCACGATGTATAGAAGGATCGAACCCATAACTATCAGGTCCCAAGATAAACACGCTAAAACTCAGCTAATAGGTTGGGATTCAGTGGTCCCCGATTCCCAGCTTTTGTTAATGCTGGATATAGTGAGACCATCATTCGATACTCTCGGCGAGTAGCTTTAATTACATCCAATTTGACTGACCTCACAGATGAGAACTTCTGAATAGATTTTCGGAAAATCCACCTTGAATCAAATGACTGAGGCGTACTAGAAGTAATTCAATTAGTGGTTTTCAGTCTGTAGAACAATTCTGACGAAACTACTGTATTCACAATATGCAAGTAGTAGATTATTACCGATATCGTAAAATAAGCCTAATCATTGAAAGTACAGGAAATTCAAAAAAATATCACAAAATACTATGGTATTTTAACTAATAAACTCACCACATGAGTCCACGTCCATAGATTGAGTATACACCGTAATTGGTCCACTTATATTATAATCAGTAATCAATAATTTATCAGTTAATCCGTTGTCCGTAAGTCTATTAGTGCTTGTAGCAGTCATACGCACGAACAGAAGACTAAAAACGTGCTCATTAAGTGTGGTTTGAAAAGAAAATGAATATTAAAGATCACCTAATCTTAATAACCAATAAATAAATAGTTGTTCATTCAACCAATCAACGGCTTGTATTTTGGACCAATCATATGTCAGAAAAATGAAACCAAATGTTATTAGGCTTCTATTAATCATGAAATATACGTCAAATCAAAACGATTTCTAAACATGCAAAATAAGATATTCAGAACATTTCAACATTTCACTTTTTAAAGGGTAATAGTACTGAATATATATAGGTGTAAGTCATTGGAATGAAACTGAAGCCAAAAGTAATTGAAATAAATAGTAATTTCTACTGTTTCTCTCGAGGAGTGACAAAAAATTCCAGTGTGATTAATTTTATTTGACTCTTAAGTAAAGTGAAGTTAATTTTTTGCTAGTTTTTGTTGATTACTCAAACTTCCATTGAAATAGTATGCTTTTTCAGTAAAATACGAAGATAATTGTCATTATGCTAGTTGGTTGGAGGTGGTCAGCTAGAAGCCTTGACACGAGGTTTCATCCTTGTTAGCACTCGTCAGAGAGGCTTACTTCCAACCTCAAGGACATTAATGTCTACTTGGAGATTCGAAGCTGTATCATCGACTACTTCACCCAGAGACTTCACAACTGAAACTGATCACCTATTGAATGGGATTACACACATAGATTAGTCTTTGGAGAGTAACCAAATTCATGTTGTTAACATCTAAGGGCTGACCGAACTCTACCTATCATTTTTGTATTGAGGTTGTCAAACCAGGAAAGCCATTAACACGGTGAAATCTAGTTGATATTGGTTAGACTCTTGGTTTTCATATTTATTGCCCTCATCAGTAAGGCTTGTCAACATTATTTTACACCACTAGAGAGACTGTACTGTTTCTAAAGTACAAGTATATCGTAATGAAGAAGAGTATATACAAACCATACTGGATAATCAGAATACTGAAGAATAGAATTCAAAATCGCTAGACATTTCAGCAGGCTAATTTGATTTGAATGGATGACAACATTTTTCTGATTTTTGATAACTTGTGATGTGGCACAAATTATCCACCAGCCTAATTCATCTTGCTAGAAAAAAATTTCATCTCACTTCTAAGGCCACAAATTTCTGTTCAGATCTCAGAACACTAAAAGTAACATAACGCAGTCCTGTTTTTCTAAGTTTATTCATTTAAGGGGTTTCTGAAAGAGAGTTAATCGGTATGTGTTTTACTGCTGAAGCTAAGCTTCCGTTTGCCCATGACATGGAGTATTTCGGTAACTGTTATTGACTAATTATTACAATATTGCATCGAATCCACTGGAAATCTTGCATTTACCATTACAAAATAAAGTAGACATCAAAGTGAGTCTATAAAAATAGAATACAAGAAATTTACAATTTTTTTTGACATAAAACCCCTCAGTTGAATGCTTTGCACAATCAAGCTATTTTTAACATGTAGTTTAAGGGCATATTTGAAATTATCGCATACTGAAGATAAGAATCGGACAGATCAAGTAGGATTTTTCAAAGAGTGGAGTAGATTTGAGGTCGAAGAAGTGAGCTACACCTCGTTCATTGCCTGTACCTTCAATCTGTTTATACATATCCTTCCAATATATCACACTGCGGGTGGAGTTCTGGTTAGCTGATATATCAAGTTGACTTCCAAACTATAGGTCATTGGTTCAAAACCTGCTCCACTACCGATATCTGACCAATCAGGTGGTAGTATCATTTAGGCCCACACAACAATTAGAGCTCATCACCTACTTCACGACTGTACAGAAGGTTGCTGAATGGATTTTGATTCGATTCGATTGATTAGATATGTCTAGTATGCAACAGGAAAAATTATGAACTCATCAAAGTTTATACTTATTTCCTACTTCAATTTGTCTTGTTTTTAAGATGGGCTGTTCATGAGACAGTCACGTTTAGTGTTTAAACACGAGTACTGGATTTATGCAGCTAATTAGTAGGTGAGAAGAAATCGTTTATATCAAGGTATTCAACTTGGAGACTTGCGTCTATTTATTGATTACAAGTTGATATCCACCTTAGACTGATATTATCTGGAGGACCACTGAAAACCGGGGAGTACTGGATGGTTTTTTCTTCCTAGTATGGGAATCCCCAGCAGTGTGCAACAACTACCCCGCCAAGAACCAAATCCAGAGACTTCAGGTTCTGTGACCAGGACATAACCAGTGAGCAAGTGGGTCAGAATCAAACTGTCTATATCTCCCTACTTTTATCGATTGGCGACATGGCAATGCCTTCATCCAATATCTTCGTGGAATACCTATCCACATGTCTGACTCGGTTTGCCCCTTGGTCATGACTTCTCGTTGGAACGTCGGGAAATCTAATCTCGAAGCAAGACAATAACGAGTGCCAGGTTGGACGTGTGGATAAGTACTCCAAGAATGGCATTCTACGAAGGTTGCATGATATCGTGACTTGACAGAAAAATGAAATATGAGCCACTGGCTAAATGGTGGCGTGCTGGATGGTGGGAGCAGTGGGTGCGTACGTCTGCGAAGTCCCATATTAGGATGAAAAGACTGTGCTTTACTTTAACATTTTTAATGGTTTTCCAGCTAAATCAGGTTATATTGGGTATTTCATTGTTACTTGTTAATTATACTGGAATAACTTGATCTGCATTTGCTGACAGATGAGCTCGTGTGCGGATGCTTATAAATTCTTTCAAGATTTATTGTGATTTCATCTGCTGAAGTTTCATACAGGAAGAAGCACGCATCCTAGACTCCTTTACTAGCTAACACCAAGCCAACTGCATCACATAGTCAATGGTTACTCACACGAATATCAAAAAACGTAAGATTAAATTGTTATGCAACTGATAAAAATCATCATCATCATGATGATCATTAACACTTAAAATGAGGTATACAATAATAATGACTATAAATGAAGCAATGTTAAAAACTTTCCTTGAAGAGGAGCGGATAATATGCATTTTGTCGAAAACGCACTCATTTGTGCAAGTGATGGTTATAAGCTTGTTAAGACCTAAATGTCTGAATGTCATTAAATTTTTCTCCAACCGATAACACTATTACAAACGACTTTGTCTGAAGCTTAAACTACACTCCAGAAAATCAATTTATCGAATAGGCATTTGAGCTGTTAAAATTAACTCAGCCATAAAGGAAAATCGCCAGGTTAACTAGTTCACTAGTTAATAGCTGGTGCTAAGCACGGATAAACAGGAAACTTTGAGTATACGGTTAACAACCCTATCCCGTAAAACCATTTCAACCGATAAAGAAACTTCAAAGCACAAACAAAATATAGAAAATAAAAACAAACTCATTCTTCACTGGAATCGGAGAGGCGAAATGATACCAACTGGTGAAAGCCTTCACGAAACCAATTGGTCGATGTGTCTTCTCTTCTCTCAGTGAAGCCAAAAGTAAATATGGGGACATGGAATGTGCACACCATGTTTGAACCTAGCTGACAAAGCTCCCCAGATTGCAAACGAGATGAGAAGGTATAGCATAGAAGTGTTAGGGTAGGAATCTGAGATGAATGTGTAGATGCAATGGAATGGAATGGAATGGAAGTGGACTCTCCTAAATGTCTCCTAAATGTCAACTGCACAGTCAATAATCTACTCGGATATTGTCACCCACACGACAACCATGAGCACACTGAGTTTTCGAGTGGCAATCACCATGTCCACATCTGAAGAGCATCGAAGCATCTCATGCAGTGGGAACCAATCTCCTCCTGCACAATCACAATCATGACAGCACTGTTCAACTCACAAGGAAGCAAAGTCACAATCACACAATCCTACGCTACACATCTACAAATAATGTAGATGGGGAGGAGGAGGAATTCTATCAACAACTACAATCAGTACTAGACAAGACTCGATTTGGCGACATCAAAATTCTGATGAGTGGGGTGACATGAATGCCAAACTGGGGGTGGACAACACAGACAACACAGGAAGAGAAGTGATCATGGGTGGAGAAGCACTCAGTGAAATGAGGAATGAGAATGAAGAACTGTTTGCAGACTTCTGCACATTCAACGATGTGGTGATTGGAGGCGAGACAATGTGAACAAACACAAGGACATTGACAAGGTGACATGGATTTCACCAGACACCAGGACACACTACACTACAAGTTGGATCGACTTCATTTGAATGTGAAGTAAGTGGAGACTCAGCCAGTCTACTGGACAGAGGATCAGATGAAGAAGGGGAGGAGATGTAGGTTTACACAAATACCTGGTATCTAGTGCAAGGAACCTGCCTTCAAATCAAGTTGAAAGCCATCAAGGAATTTGGTGATAGACCACAGTTGAAGTTGAACACCCAGAACAGAAAGTGAACTGAAGGACGAAACTAAAAATGACACCTGCACTTCAGTCAGTCAGTCAGTCAGTCAGTGAGTCATGAGGACAAAGTGGGAGACATTGAGCAACATCCCTGAAGAAATCTGAGTGGAAGAACACTGGAACTGTTTGAAAGAGATGTGGAGAGAAATCTGCACAACTGTATTGGGAAGGAAAAAGAAAGAAGATAAGACAATTAATGGATGTCGATGGACACATGGAAGGTGATAGAGCAGGGAGAGGAAGATGGTGATGGTGATGATGAGGTTGACGATGATGGTGATGGTGAAGCAGAAGATGAACCGGTGTAGTGCGATGTTGAAGAAGGCAAAGAGGAAGTGAGCACACCATATAAACCACCACATTGGACAAAGAGGTGAAGAAGAGTGCGCGCAAAGATAAAACACACTTCCACAACACACTGACAAGTGAAGTGGAACAGACTGGTGGTAGGAGAGACAGACAGAGAGAGAGAGAGAGACCTGACCACATTGTATCAAATAACCAGGTTAGTATCCCGACAGACATCAGCACACATGAAACCAATGAAAGATAGTGAAGGGAAGCTAGTTACGCCGATGAGGAGAAAGAA